GCGCCTGTTGGCACATTTCAACTTTATTTCCTACTCTGACGTGTCGAGAAGGCTGGTGAAGAACCCATGGGCAGATACTTAAGTTTGAATCTGGAATGTTCCCCCAAGTTTCATGTGTTAAAAAATCTTGGTCCAGACACAAATGGGCCATAGTGTATCTCTCTCTCTCTCTCTCTCTCTCTCTCTCTCTCTCTCTCTCTCTCTCTCTCTCTCTCTCCTTTCTTCCTTCCCCCCCGCCAAGCAATTCTTCTCTGCCACACAGACCTCATTAGAGGTTCCTTTTCAATGGGTCCTAGCATAAAGGAATCAACAATCACCTTCAAGACTGTGAGCTAAAACACAACTTCTTCCTTGATGGATTGTTCTAGGTATTGTAGTTCTTGTAGCTATTCTGACACAGCAGGCTCTTGAGGGGAGAACAGCATTTTTTGGTGTGTGGTCATTCTGTGGGTTTTGGGGTATAGAAGATGCGGGAGAGAAAGCTGGTTCATCAGACCAATGGGATCATGGGAATTTTCACAGACCACTTCAGAGGCATTTATGGAACTTAAACGTAACCCTCACCAGAGCAGGAGTGTCGTAAGAATATCTCTAAGTGGATTCAGGCTATGAACTACTCTTCTCTAAATGCCTTGGCTCTGCACAAACGGCTCCTAGTTCATTTGTGAAGGGGCTGGAGAAACCTCAGATATTGTTGGCATTCGTGAAACAATAAGTGTGAGATGCCAAGCCATTGTCCTTTGACTTTGCCTGTTTCTTACCATAGCCCTGCCTGGGCACATCATTCGTTACCTTGCAAGCATCACTTCGGTTCTTCCCTCTTGGTGCCTTCCACCCTCCGCTATCTTTTGGGTAGGATTGCATGCGTTTCCCTTCATCCCCTGACCATCATGGTCCTCATAGCTGAAAATGTCCTCCATGGAGCAGTGGCTAGGTCTCCTCTACACAGCAGGAGCCGTGTGCTTACAGTGAGGTTTGGAAGATGGCATAGCATCCCCTGGGGGTGGTGGGCAACAATGAACACTTTGGCATCAAGGTGCGGAGCCCAGGGATGAGAAAGGGGCGGGGGGGGGTCAGCAATTCGGTTTTTGTTTTTTTGTTTCCCTTTACTGTCCAGTGCTGAAGATCAAACCCAGGGCCTCATGCGAGCCAGGCAAGTAAACAGTCAGTCAGCTATGATCAAACCTCCATGACAACCTGCAGAACTACTGGTCTAGAGCAACTTTACAGACGGTCAGTCTACACCAGAGCAGTGAGATTTGGGGAGTGTTTGCTGTAAGGCAGGTACTGGGCCCTGCACCGGTGGCACGACAGTCACTTCTCTGTGGCCTGGTTTTTTCTTTCTTTCCTTTTCTTTTTTTTCAACATTAGGCTAATTCTTGTTTAGGGAGGGACACACTGTAGTATGAGTGTGAGGAGTGTCCACTATTCTAATACTCAGAAAGCCACATGGGAGTAATTTGTTTCTCTTCCACCTGCCAAGTGGACTAGCAATATCGCTTACTGTTTTGGGGCCTAATTAATTAATCTTGGGATTTGTGGCCATTCATGGTCATAATCTTAGGGGCCAATGAAAAGCCTCAAAGGTCACGTTTTCCTCCTTAGCGATCAGGGAAATGCAAATCAAGACAACTTTAAGATACCATCTTACACCTGTCAGAATGGCGAAAATCAAAAACACCAATGATAGCCTTTGCTGGAGAGGTTGTGGAGAAAGGGGTACACTCATCCATTGCTGGTGGGAATGCAAACTTGTGCAACCACTCTGGAAAGCAGTGTGGAGGTTTCTCAGGAAATTCGGGATCAACCTACCCATGGACCCAGCAATACCACTCTTGGGAATATACCCAAGAGAGGCCTTATCACACAACAAAAGTATATGCTCTACTATGTTTATAGCAGCATTGTTTGTAATAGCCAGAACCTGGAAACAACCTAGATGCCCTTCAATTGAAGAATGGATGAAGAAAGTATGGAATATATACATATTAGAGTACTACTCAGCAGTAAAAAACAAGGACTTCTTGAAGTTTGCAGGCAAATGGATGGAAATAGAAAACACCATCCTGAGTGAGGTAAGCCAGACCCAAAAAGAGGAACATGGGATGTACTCACTCATATTTGGTTTCTAGCCATAAATAAAGGACATTGAGCCTATAATTCGGGTTCTTAGAGAAGCTAAATAAGAAGGAGAACCCAAAGAAAATCATATAGGCTTCCTCCTGAATATTAACCTTCATCAGGCGATGAAAGGAGACAGAGACAGAGACCCACAATGGAGCACCGGACTGAAATCTCAAGGTCCAAATCAGAAGCAGAAGGAGAGAGAGCACAAGCAAGGAACTCAGGACCGCGAGGGGTGCACCCATACACTGAGACAAGGGGGATGTTCTATCGGGAACTCACCAAGGCCAGCTGGCCTGGGTCTGAAAAAGCCCGGGTTAAAACCGGTCTCGCTGAACATAGTGGACAATGAGGACTACTGAGACCTCAAGAACAATGGCAATGGGTTTTTGATCCTACTGTACCTATTGGTTTCGTGGGAGCCTAGGCAGTTTCGTGGATGCTCACCTTACTAGACCTGGATGGAGGTGGGTGGTCCTTGGACTTCCCACAGGGCAGGGAACCCTGATTGCTCTTTGGGCTGACGAGGGAGGGGGACTTGATTGGGGGAGGGGGAGGGAAAGGGGAGGCGGCAGTGGGGAAGAGACAGAAATCTTTAATAAATAAATAAATTTAAAAAAATTAAAAAAAAGGTCACGTTTTCCTACCAACTTATGCAAATCAGCATGAGAACAGAGCTTGCCCTGGACTAACCAGGAACCCAGTGTTTACAAACATGTACACTGGGCTGAGAGATGCTCAAGTCCTTGGCACTGGCTGCTCTTTCACAGCCCCTGGCTTGAACTCCTAGTCTCAGTGTTGTGGCTCACACCATCTGTGCCTCCAGTCCTAGATTTACTACCCTCTTCTGGCCTTCTTGGGTACTGCACACATGTGGGCACAGACATAGAGCAGGAACAACATCCATCCACAAAAATAAAAATAAATAAAATCTAAAAAGAAACAATTAAAAAAGCATGTGTATCTTTTTTTAAAGACATGTTTTCACTGTGTAGGCTTGCAATACTAGTACTTGGGAGGCAGAGACAGTGAGTTTGAAGCCAACCTGATCTATATAGAGAGCTCTAGTCCAACCACAGGCTATATCACAGACCCTGTCTAAAAAAATAAAGTGTATGTATCATGGATTAGTGTTATACAGTGCTATTATCCCACAAATTCTAAAGGACATTCAAGAAAGACACCAGGTGGCCTCAACCTTAAACTTAGCCACTGCTCTTATGAGCCCGTTACTTATTCATAAATCTGCATTGTTTCAATTATTTATGACTTTCTGCTCAAACTGGATGCTGTTTGTCTGAGCCTATAAAATCCATCTGGGTCTCTGGCAGGATCCTGCTGTGTCCATGTGTTGCCATGTGCTCATTGGCAGGACACGGTTTGGCAGAGTGGCAAGGAAGGCACATTTTAACAGACGGTCCAGGCTGGGGGTGTCCTGTGGGCAGCGTAAGAGAACCTGAGGTGGTGCCAGTAACCTCCCAATGCCTGGAACGAGGCTCGAATCCTCAGCACTAGTCCAGAACTTCAGCTTCTCCTTCACTCTGCCTGTTGCTAAGGGGAACAGGCTGAAGGTCTTCCCCACTGTGTCCGAGGGAGGGGAAAAGAAGTGGCTTGCTGTTTCACGAGGGAAGTCAACCAGTAGGCCATTGGCTTCCTCCAGACTAATTGCAGCCTGTTTGCTTGTGAGATGACCCTGTCCAGCAGCCACCCTATCATGATCTGAACACCGGGGTTGGGACATATGGGGCCCAGAGACCAGACCAAACCGTTATTAGTTCACAGAACTCCAAGTCTTTATTCATCACAGCTTGCTCACAATGACATACAGGAAAATAGCACTAATGGAGAGTAAATATGCAGGCAGCAACCTTCGGGAGTGGGGAGTTGGGGGAGAAACGACTTCAGAACTGCAATAGGTACGTATGCTGGGTATCTGCTGATTCTTTTAGTTGGCACAAATGCCCTGCCTAGCCCCCTAGCTGCGTCAGCCTCACAGATGGAGTGGTGTGGTTTTGTTTATAGGCAGGATTGCCCTACACTGGGGAAGAAAGACCAGCTTGAGTGAAAGTCCACAGTGTGTGTGTGTGTGATTTTGTTTGTGTTTTTAATGCAACAACCAGCTCACAGTCTCCAAGTGGAAAATACTCAGTAGCATCATGTGCTTGTACTACAGGCAAAAGCTTAATACGAACATCATCACCCATGGCATCCACAAGTAAGCCACCCGACACGTTAACTACTTCATTCCATCCAAATAACTGAAATAAGAGAAGTAAGCCCACTTCATGAAGAACGACTTCAGGGCTCCTTGAACCCTTGGACTTCGCATTTGTGTTCAGCCTTTTGCTTCTACCCTGACTGAGATCAGATCTGTCTTCCCGTCCATCCCTTTCTAAGACCTGAACACGCATGTAGCACATAGTCCATGAGAAGCAGAAGTAAGCACTAGGACTGGCGTTTTCCTTAGCCTGGCTTTATGGTTTCTAGGCAGGAAGCAGATGTGGAGGCTCTCATGGAGACATGATACCTGTCATTTAGGCGTGGCCTTGGTCAAGCTAGAGATTATGAAGTCATCTAGGTCACTAGGCAATGGTGGGTTTCTAGCACCATAGACTGTCTACTGACCTCATTTTTCTGTTGGAGTGAGAAGGGAAGGGACTAGAGTTCCACATGGGGAGCTTCTGGAAGAACAGACCTAGCGAATTCATTGGAGTGGAAAGACACAACATCGAAAGCCTGTTACAGGACATGTAAGATTATGAAATAACTTGCATAATGCAATACTTGTATTTTTTAACAAAAATGTAAATATTTACAAAATAAGATCCAAGGTACTTTTTTTTAAACATCAAGCAAAACATTCTGCAAAGGGACCGCATTGATTTTATTTTATTTTTGATTCTGTTTTTTGTTTTGTTTTTAATAATGAGTTCTTTTTAAACCATGTCATACATTTCCCATACTGATATCTCATGATCCATTATAATATAGGCAGAGGGATTTACTATGGGAGGGGCGTGCCATACCCGCCATTGCTTCAGCCAGACAGTTCAACCTGGAGCTCTTTGTTCCTGCGCACCTCCGCAGCGTGCCTCTCCTAGAAGACATCCAAGCAGAAGAGGTCATTTCATAAGGCCCAGAGAACTAGGAGGGCCACCCTAGCCTTTGCTGGACATATTTGGTCAGAAATCATGCAGTGTGGTATCTACCTAAACAGAAATTCCTAAAGGAATTTTCTTCACGTCACAAGGAGAATGTGGGCTCAAGGAACATCACAGTAGAGAAGACTACAAACATCTTTATCACCCCATACTCCTCCCCTCAGGCGCCACCCTCCCTCGCTGGTGATCAAACCCTGGAACCAAGTACCTTGTAAGTCATAGGCAAGCCCTTTACTGAGGAGCTGTACCCTAATCCTGCACTTCTAACAACAACAACAACAACAACAATGCTCTTCTTTTAAAAATTATGATTAAAATGTCAAATAATAATAAGAACTTGAATATATTGACTTGTGTATGAATTCTGAGACCGGCAATAAAATATAACATTGTTGATTTCCTCATCTTCAGTCTTTAACTCCTCTTTTTGGACTATTTTGAGGGATTTGTGCTTGCCCACAGGCCTTCTGGGAAACAGATCCAGAGAGAAGACTTTGGTATGTACCACTTTTTAAAACCTTGTTTGAAATAGTCCTTCTGAACTTGAGCCCAGCAGTGTTTCCAGAGACTCTGGCACACGCCAGCTGAGGCAGTCCAGCTGAATCACCTTTTCATGCCACTTCGAATGTCTGGGGTCCCCACCCTCATTCCCGCTGGTGAGGACTGTAAGCATAGGCTGTAAGGCCTTCACAGCAATCCTTCCCCATAAGGGCTTTCACAAGACCCCAAATCCATACAATTGCATCTAAACTCTTACATAAATGAAATTCTCCCCCTTTATGGGGCAGTCACATAGTTCTAAACAGGAGAATTTGGCTCTTTGGCTATGTTTGGCTATAAAGTCTTGACTGTGTCATTTTATAGCATGGTACATTGCATGGGTCGGTGGATATTTATTTGCATAAAAATCCTACTATTAGAGATAATGATCTTGGGTTAGGAAGTGAGCTTTCTAAGGAGGGAAGTGATGGAGAAAAGGTGGATCTAGCATTTTTTAGCTTGAACTTCTGCATTGGATGATCGAAGGCATGTGGTTTTACATAGAGGGGCTCAATGCCTGTCGAATTGAACTTTGAAATGCTAACTATTAATAACGGTATCATTTTCTAAAACTGCTTTTCTCCTCATATAGTTTCTTTGATTCATTCACAATCATCTTGACCAGCTATAAAGTAAATCTTATTATTAAATCCTATTCATGTCAAGTGTCTGTGCTTACAGGGTTCTTTATCCTGAAACACTGAGCATGTATTTTTAACACTCAGCATGTATCTGCAATTCCCCATCTCCCTATTCCTGCTAAAGGGAAGTGTAGTAGTATTTTGACACTGGAAACATTACTTTTAAATGAAGGTATGTATGAAAGATGGCTTTAAGAAAACTTCTGGTCCTTTGAAAAAATGTGGTTTAGAGATTTCTTATTGGAAGTCAAGAAATGTGAGGTCAGTTGGACCACCGAGCTCAGTCGGTAGAGCATGAGACTCTTAATCTCAGGGTCGTGGGTTTGAGCCCCACATTGGGCACCATTCTGTAGCAGTGAGGTGAGCAGGCCTGCTTTTTGTCCTGCCTGGCTCCCGCATGGCTAGCTTAGTTCTGGAATAATTAGGTGGAAACTGTATTCATTTAAACACTGTCTGGCCCATTAGTTCCAGCATCTTATTGGCTAATTCTCACATCTTGATTAACATATTTCTAATAATCTGTGTAGCACCACGAAGTGGTGTCTTACTGGGAAGATTCTAACCTGCGTCCATCTTGGAGAGGAGAGCTATGGCATCTGCCTCACTTCCCTTCTTCCCAGCATTCTGTTCTGTCTACTCCACCCACCTATGTTCTGACCTATCAGGCCAAGCAGTTTCTTTATTAATTAACCAATGAAAGCAACACATAGAAAGAAGACCCACCTACATCAGGTAGTGAGATTCAACATTAGTTATATATGAATGTGACCTTTCCCCCCTCAAGTTTAGGCTGTAGGAGGGAAACGTGTCATATACCCTGTACTTCTTCAAAAGTTAAAAATTGGTGGAAGCAGGAAGTTGACTCTAGAGAAATGTAATTGGTTTAAAAGAGCCTTTCATGCCACTGAAACCATGAAGAGAAGGAGCAAAGGCATATGCTGAGAAATCAAGTTGTGCTTGGAAATGTGGGAGGTCGTACAGATGCAGTGATTCCTCTTTTGTTCAGTTATCAGGAGGCAAAGCTGTAGCGGGGTCTGCTTTCCATGCAGATGGAGACTCATTAATGAAAGCTGGGCTCTCATGAAAACTGGGCAGTGCTGAGACCTCTCCTGTGCTGGGAGACAACAGAGCTTCCAGTAGGAAATAGCTTCACAAGCGTAAACACTAGAGTTAGTGCTATTGGCTTCCTTTGGACTTTACTTCTTACTCAAATTAGTAAAGTAATGAGTTTGCTGAAGAAAATCAAAGACTTAATTTGAGTTCAAGATAACTTAAAAAAATTTAGATAATCCTTCTGAGTTTCTACAAAAATATTTTCAGGCATTTTAGCTGGCTTTGTATTTGAGAACTTTAAATAATGGAATGCAGACTCCTGATGTGTTGATGTGATTTTAAATGAGAATGTCGGAGAAGCTAGGGTAGTCCTGCACAGGTAATGATGTCAATCAGTGGTCCCGATTAACAACCAGAACACTACAGTTGGGAGCTTCTAGGGTAGCTCTGTGAGGCTCTGTCTATCTATGAAGTTCACTCAGGATGCGGTCTGTGGAGTTCACTCGGGACGTGGTCTGTGGCGTTCACTCAGGACACGGTCTGTGGAGTTCACTCAGGATGTTGTCTGTGGAGTTCACTCGGGACGTAGTCTATGGAGTTCACTTGGGACATGGTCTATGAAGTTCACTTGGGACGTGGTCTATGGAGTTCACTTGGGACATGGTCTATGGAGTTCACTCGGGACGTGGTCTGTGGAGTTCACTAAGGACATGGTCTATGGAGTTCACTCGGGACGTGGTCTGTGGAGTTCACTCGGGACATAGTCTATGGAGTTCACTCGGGACATAGTCTATGAAGTTCACTTGGGACGTGGTCTATGGAGTTCACTTGGGACATGGTCTATGGAGTTCACTCGGGATGTTGTCTGTGGAGTTCACTCAGGACGTTGTCTGTAGAGTTCATCTGGGACGTGGTCTGTGGAGTTCACTCAGGACGTTGTCTGTGGAGTTCACTCAGGACGTTGTCTGTGGAGTTCACTCGGGACATAGTCTGTGGAGTTCACTTGGGACATGGTCTATGAAGTTCACTCGGGACATGGTCTGTGGAGTTCACTAAGAACATGGTCTATGGAGTTCACTAAGGACGTGGTCTGTGGAGTTCACTAAGGACGTGGTCTGTGGAGTTCACTCAGGATGTTGTCTGTGGAGTTCACTAAGGACTTTCTTCTTTAGTAATATCCACTTCATTACACATTTCACACTTACTTTGCTAGGTACACTTAGAGTTACTGGCCAGGCTAGGCCCAAGCATATCTGAATTTACAAAATGCTTTTTCTGCAATTTCCCATCTCTCTATTCCTGCTAAAGGGAAGTGTAGTAGTATTTTGACACTAGAAACATTACTTTTAAATGAAGGTATGTATAATAGATGGCTTTAAGAAAACTTCTGTTCCTCTGAAAAAATGTGATTTAGAGATTTCTATTGGAAGTCAAGAAATGTGAGGTCTTTCCCTCCTTCCTTTATCTCTTAATGCCTCTTTAATGTCTGTAGGTATCAAAACTTGAACTAGATGACCTCAGATAATAATTTTATAAAATTCCATTATCAAAGTCTATTTAAGTGTAAGATTATGTCAGCATAATCAGGTCCCTTTCTTTTTTATTAATGGTTATGAGCCTATGCATAAAAGATAAATCAGGAATAAGTTGAGAGAACTCATAAAAGTCCTGTTGTCATAAATCAAGATGCTGGTGGTCATGGGACCAAGGGTAGTCCCTAAAATAATGGCTACAAATGCACCTACTTGTTGCTGGTTGGACAATGAAACATAAAATTGCTACCTATATAAAGATCCTTCTTAATTCTACACTTCTAGTTGGTGAGGGCAAACCTGGTTGTGTGAGCCCTGCTGGAAACTCCTGTGAGTTCTGTTTCGCTATTATAAGGCAGATGGGCAGGTGGGATGGGTGGAAGGTACTGCAGGTTTCTCAGGAGTGCATTCGAGCCGGGAGGTACCCATTAGGCTGGGAAGAAAGCATCTCTTTAATTCTTCCCGCTTGGCAAGAGTGGGTGTTTTCCCTAGTATGGGAGCCTGGTATGGAGTGATTTCTACTGACAACAGATAACCGGGGATCCCGTCTCTCTCTCTTCTATCCACCCCCCTCCCCCCGGCCGACAAGGTCTCACTTATTCTGTAGCCAAGTCTGGTCCTCCTCTTCAGCCTCCCAGGTGCTGGGACTCTAAATGAGGTCTGCCATGCCTGGCTGGAGAGGACCCTTTTTTGTTACTTCCCCTTCCAGGTTTCTAAGCACACAGTAGAGGCCCTGTAGATGCTCACTGAGTGATCAACTCATTAATATGCAATTTCTGAAGTAACTGCCTTTCCAGATGTCAAGTTTCAGAAAAGCTTCTGTTACACTCTCAGCATTACACAACTATGGCCTTTTTGACTTCACTTAACCAGAAGGCTGTGTATAGCTCATAGCAAGTTTGCTTTGTCCTATTTTAGGAAAGAAGTAGTTTTAGTGCTCACAGACACAGACAGAGACACAATAGAAGATGACTCTTACTACACAACACCTCCAGTTCATTTAAAACACAGCACATAGAAGGAAATCTGTTGCTTCCTAGGTGTTCCCATTTCACTGAGGAGATAAAAGATGTTTGCTGTGAGCGGCCAAAGAGTCTATATGATTGGAAAAATATCCATTTAGTTATGGAATGCCAAAGAAAACCTGGCTCTGGCAATGACCTTTACCGCCCCATATGGTGTGGTCTAGAACAGACTGCTGTCAGCTGAAATTTAAATCCAGAATAGGACTTGTTCTCACATCATCCAGAGCCCCGGGGTCTTACTTCTCTGCTGGAGCCTACACCCCTTCCCAGGCAGAGTTCTCAAAAATTCACGAAGAGTGCATCTAACTTAAAAAAAAATCTCTGGGATATAATGTTTTTAAAAGACTTTAGCCAGGAACAGTGATACATGTTTGCAATTTGAGCTTGGAGTCTGAGGCAGGAGGATTATGAGTTTGAGTGTGAACTCTCAGTGTTTGGAGGACAATGACAGTGTCTCTCTGCATCTGCAGGGCCTGACATAGCATAGATGTGGGAGCAGGTTGGAGGGTGAGAAGTGTAGATGCATCTTCGCATCTTTTCCAGAGTCCCTAGTTTTCAAGCTTAATGCAGCTTCTGGAAACAGACAAAGCAAAACTATTCATAGCTACTATGTATAATTTTTTCAAAGGCAAGCTTGTGTGTGTGTGTGTGTACGTGTGTGTGTGTGTGTGTGTGCGTTTGCACCTGTGTTTGCACATGGATGGTGGGATATGGAGAAAGGCCTGAGGACAACCAAATATGTATGAAATGGTCCCTCTGCTATGCTCCCATGTTCCAGATATTCTTGTAGATTTTCTTACATGGAGAGACTGGAATTGTGACAAATATTTTATGTTAAATATATCATTTTTAAAAATGTTATATGTTAATTTTTATTAACATTAAGTATTATAGCATTAATGTAATAAGTTAAGTATTAAATATGTGCAACTTGGTAATTTTCATTGCATTGGTTTGTACAGAAGTCATACACATTTGAGACCAGCCTTCCTGGGCTCCCTGTCCAGTGGAACATTTGGCAAGGGCTTCAGGGCTGATATAGAGTTTCCTTTCTCCACCATAGGCTCAGGTCACAGATTCAAAATACATGATGAGAGCAGCCTGAGGTTGACTGTCACACCTCGTTTTGCAGCACCCAGCATCCCCCAGCTATGCTGCGCAGCGTTTGCCCCCCGGCTGTGCTGTACAGGTATGGCCTGCAGCTGGGCTGCACAGGGCTTGTTCCCCAGCTGGGCTGTACAGGGCTTCTTCTCCCTGTTCAGCATTCTGGTGCCCTTACCTTTTCCTGCAGACGTTCAATGATAGCAGCTAGATTAGCCTCACGGTTTTCCTTAATTTGTTCCATTTTCAGAATCAGCTTCTCCTCCGCCATCTTGCTGAAGTTGTTATTCTCCTCCAAAGCCTTCTGGAGGACTTCTCGCTCGTGCTCCCTCTTCTCTGCCAATTGTTTCAGCACCTGGGCCTCCTGAGACTGGGGAGAAAACACAATTTTTAGTTATCGGGAAGCCGACCTAGCTGAGTGCTAGCTGGTGCTGCAGGCGTGAGCACTGCTATTCAGTGACTCTTGTCTGTAGACTTTAGCACTTTCTATAGAATGTGTTGACGGGGTGTGTGGCTCCCTGAATTTTCAACTGTCAAGGTTTTAGACAGAGTGTCTTAGAAATAGCATTAACTCTCATTGAAGAATTTCTTTTCTTTTCTTTTCTTTTCTTCCTTTTCTTTTCTTTTCTTTTCTTTCTCTCTCTCTCTTTTATTTTTTTTTTTTAACAAAAATAAGATGCTGCTAAACATATCTGCATCAGGAAGGGCTACAATGAACCGCTGGACCACTACATTCACTGAGAACCTGAAGGAAATGGGAAAGGCCTGGGGCCTGAACTTCCCTTTTCTTCTGTCCACTGTTTTCTAACCAACCGTAGGGTGGGCCCTGTAGGAGCTTTTCTTGTTAATCAAATCCACTTTCTCTTTTTATTACATGACTGTCCTTCCTCTTTCCCAGCAGCTATTAAATTTTTCCTGGCACTGGAGATATGACTTAGTGGTAAAGGGCACTTGCTGATTTTGAAGAAGACCAGAGTTCAGTACCTAGAGCCCACATAACAGCAAACAACTGTCCTCAACTCCAGTTCTAGGGAGTCCAGTGCTCTCTTCTGGCTCTCTGGACACCAAGCATGAACATGGTGTGCAGATATACATGCAGACAAAGCATACATACACATAAAACACTCTGTAGAGACTTGAAAACATTTGTGCACTCATGTTTAGTGTCTTTTGGGCCCAAACCAGAAGAAAGCCCTGATTCTGGCTGTCATTCTTCAATTGGACACCCAGAGGAATTATGGGGACTCTGTGGTCCTTCAGCAGTGAGAGCAGAGCCAATGGGGTTAGCTATGTCTTGTGCATGCTCTCTCTCTCCTTAGCATCAGCAGGATTATGGTCCTCTGCAACTGCAGTCACTGGGGGCTTGGCAATGACAGAGCACCCAGTATCTTCCTGCTGAGATCTATTTCCAAGGTTCTTTGGTACTTCTGCTAGTGCTGGAAGTTAGACTTAGGACTCCATCATTGGAGTGTATAAGCAGCTCTTTCTGCCTGCAACATCCCTGACTTTGTTCCTCGGAGAAATCAACTCTTCCCTGAATATGGCTCAGTCTAGCAGTTGTACTGTCAAGAAAGAAAATCAGTTTTGCTGCCACTATCTGTAAAGTGAGAAAATATGCAGTAATTTCAGAACATTACACAAAGGCATGGCATGCGATGCATGAGAAGCCAAAGAACGGCAACACATGATCTGAAGCAGTGGAAGGCTGTCTCTACCTGTGTGTGGGAGTGAAGGTCTTGCTGCATGTTCAAACAGTTCTTCCTACTGTGCTGTGCTCGGGCAGATGAGCAGGAAGGCAGGTGGACTGTGTGTGTTTAGAGAGAGGTGAAAATAGGGACCCTGGCAAATGTTGGTGCATATGAAGTTTTCAAAGATAAGTAATGGCCTTGGAGGATCATGGCCTTTCACAGAAGCTCTCTGAGAATTAAGACGGAAAACTGGGTGAGGTAGAGGGCAGCTAGTACAAGGTAGAAGTAAGCTGAGGCAAATACAGAGTGAGTCATTCAAATGTGCCACCGGGGAGATGGGAGAAACTGAGGCAGATGGCTGGTGAGCACCTCTTCTGCACATCCTCACTCAGAACTTAGGATCACTGGATGATGATGCGAGAGGTACACGGAGGCACAGTACTGAGACAGGAAGAAGAGTTATTGTCCATTTAGGAACGCTTGAATGTTGTGCAGAGAGGTTAATTAGCATCTCTCACGCTACCCAGTCTAAGAGCTTAATTGCTGCACAAATGAATTGGATGATAAATCTGAGTTAACTGGTCTATAAAACTCATCTACGCGCACAGAAGAGATTTAAGACACTGTAGATGCCACCGGTTTCCCATTTACTTCTGAAGTTCATATACTCCTGCCACTCCATCTTCTTGTTCCATTTAATCATGTGTGGGATGTATTACTTGACACCCAGATCCATTCATCAAACACCAAAGCCCTTAGTTCCAAAGGATCTTCCCAATAGGAGGCTGGATGCTGTCCTGTAACTATTGGGCTTTCCACTAATCCTGAAAGGACATCGTCAACATGGCTAAGGGCAAAAAAGTGTGTGCTCAAATATGACAGTTGAGTGTAGTTGTGCCAAGCAAAGACCACAGCGTTCACTTCCCGATGAAAAGCCAGGAATACATGAGAGACTTAACATGATGAAAACCTGGAGTTTCATTATGAGCTCTTCTCGTTCCGAAGCCTGGGATGGGGTTGCTGGGGTCCCCTCACAAGAAGAGAGTCTGCATGCTCTTCTTGCTTGCCCGGAAGACCACAATAAGATTTTATGACCATGAACCCAGCTGGCTTCCTGAATATCAAACTGTGACTATATAAAAACTACTTCAATCCCCCTATATTCCATCTCAATAGCCAGTTACCAACGTAAGATGCCAGCTGCAGATGACAATTCCCAAAAGAATACAAACTTTCCCGGTCTGTCCAATTAGACTGGCTAGGAGCAACTTTAAGGTGATGTACTAGAATATTGCAGAGCTAGGACCGAAATACACTCTCTGTTACACCCTTTTAAAGTGAGAGTTGTATTTTTGAGTGGCTGCAACACATCACTGGAGGACAAGGTCAGGTGTCTTAGAGTCAGGGCAGGAATTAGAGGCCCCTTCCGGTAATGAGGGCCAGCAGTGCGGGACGTTGGCAGCCATGTGTGTAAACTTCACCTGGTTCAGACCTCACAGAAGCCGTCGTGGGGCAAATCCATAATGTGGTAAGGGAACAAGAGGAGCCCATTCTAAAACTTTGGCGTTACAAATGAAGAAGTTGGGGCCACCTGATTTGTCTACAAATGGTTCCCTTTCAATCCACTTTGTTTAGAGCAAGGAATTCACTTCTCTTTCCGAGGTTCATAGGTTGTTAGAATTCACTGTGCAGTGATATTGCTATATGAATTTATCTCTTACTGAACAGGTTTGAGTGGGGAGCATTTTGATTTAATCCGTTTATCAAAGTAATAAGTATCATTAAATTTTCGTCATTTTTCATAATATTAACATTTTCAGGCCAGTTTTAGTTGGCCCGACCTGTTTACATGTATCTATTTTATCACCTTGATTATTCTATGTATTATGATCATGATCAGTTTATATTTAAAATATTTATGAAATGTGCGATATGGCAGTATTAATCAGGACCACTTTCCTTTGAAAAATCATTTGCTGGATCATAATTTTTGCAAAGCCAGAACTTGTTGCATTTTATTAGAAATAAGCAACAGCTCATGGACCTTCTACAAGTCTTTTCAATAGAGGACAATGCCGGATGGTATCACCAGGGAAGAGGGATCTCAGCTGAGGGGCTGCCTCCCTCTGACTGGCTGTGGGCAAGTCCGTGGAGCATTTTCTTGATGAATGATGGATGTAAGGAGGGCCAGCTCACAGGGGTGACTCACCCCTGGGCAGTGAGCCTGGGTTCTAAGAGAAAGCAAACTAAGCAAGCCTATAGGTCTATGGTTTCCTCTGTGGTCTCCGCTCCAGGCTCTGCGTGAGTTCCTGGCCTGACTTCTCTCAGTGATGGACTGTGACCTGGAAGTGTAGGTGAAATGGCTGCTTCCTGCCCAGGCGGCTCTTGGTCATGGTACTTATCACAGCCACAAGAAAAATACAAACCAAACTCGGAAAATGGGCAAAAGGAGATAGACTTGAGATGACTTGCTCAGGGGCAGTAGCTGTTGTGTGGAGGCATGGGCTCAACTTCAGACGTTCTGATACCCATGTGTTCTTGGGATGATTTGAAAGTCACCTTTAAACTGTAGTCTGCTGAAGATAACCAGACACAGTCCCCACACTGGGACATATGGGAAAGAGAAATCACTAACAGAGACACTGGAACAGCAGAGTGTGTTGGATCATCTAGGTGGGATGTGTGGAAGCCTGCTGCCTTTTGCTAAGGGACTGTTGAACAAATGGGCACAGGGCCTGAATGGCCAACATGTCACCATCCATTCCCTAATGTGGTTAGCTGAAATATGAAGACTTGAATTTCAAAAAATGAACACTGATTGACAGAGGTACTTCAATAAGGGAGAAAAAGCAAAATTAATTAGAATAAGCTTTTCTCTCAGCTAAACTATGGAACATTATTCTGGCTGGAGGAGCCTGTGCAGTTCTATCTGAGCAAGTGACCATATGGTCAGAGCTATGAAGGTGGCCAAGTGGCCTAGGGATTCTGGGAAACTGCCAGGATATTTAATACACAGTATATCTGATCCCCTGTGGAGACACTTGGGCAGCAGCCTTCCAGCCCTGACTTCAGAGAGCCCTGTCTGTACAACTCAGGCGGGCCCCTGGCCCACAGAGGGCTCTTGGATTCCCAGGGAATAGCTTTAAACATCCTAGTAAGTGGTTTCGTGTTTAGAACATCCTAATAAGAACCACCCTTGTCTACCTCTGTGCTTGGAGTTAGGATTATGTCCGTTTGATGAGAAAATGCTTGCTGTCTTAAGATAACTGAGGCTATTGACTGGCAGTAGCAACTGACCGTTTATAACAACAGCAAAATGCTGCTGATATGCATGTAAATGCCATGTATACTTTGGGGGAGAATATTTAGAAATTTGTAATGTATGGGGAGGGAAATAGGCCCAGTGTAAAGTGACAACAGCTGAATTCTGTTTCTCAGTTCTTAGCAGCTTTTTAATATTTATTCAAGCTTTTATTATTTATTTACTGTTTTTTTTTTCAAGGCAGGATTTCTTTGTGTAGCCCTGGCTGTCCTGGAATTCACAATATAGACCAGGCTGGACTTGAACCCAGAGATCCACCTGTCTTGACCTTCCAAATGTTGGTATTAAAGGAATGTGCTATTACTGCCCGGCTATTTTGAACACCTAGAAGGATTTGTTTTTATGTAAAAATGCAGGCCTCTTTATGACTTATACATTGGGTCTGATCTAGCGCTCCCTCCCAACTCCCCCATCCACTGTCTGAGGCACTGCCTTCAAAACATCTTCTCTGTGCTTGCCTCTGTGTGCCCTTAGTCATGAAGTGGATTTTATTTGTTTGTTTTCTATTCTATAACAATTTCCCATTTTCTCTATTTATCTAACACCGTTTTTCTAGTTAATTCCTTTAAAAATAGGTCTTTCTTTAAAGCTGGGCTGTGTTTCCTATTCAGCATGGGCATGGTTTCATTGTCTTCCTCTGCCTTCCTTTCACTTCAACTCAAAGTCCTCAGAGCACTGCCCTCTGACTTCAGCACCAGTCCTTTCTCTGAGCTCAGCACTCCAGCCTCACTGGCCTTTGTGCTGTCTCTCAAACTCACCAGAACCCTGGACCCTGGCGCTTGCTGCTCTTCCCACGTCAGACAGTCTACCCTTATCTTTTGTTCTCTTGCTCATGCTTGATGTGTTGTATGCTATGGTGTGTTTAAGACTGACTCTTGGTCCTCTTGGTCCCTTAGTGACAGGAGGCTTAGTGAGTGTCTTTAGTTCCTAGAGTCAGGGTCAGAATAAATAGCAGGTCCCAGATCTGTCTGTCAATTATGTGATTTTACTTTCAGGAGGTATCATTTGGAAACTTACTACCTATAATTTTGCTTTGTGTTAGGAATATGGAATACTATAGGTTTGCAGACAACAACTGGGGATACCTGCCATTTTCTATCTCTAAGCTCCACCCCCACCTTTTTCTGGTGAGGTCTGAATTTTCTTTTGCCTTACCCCCAGACTTTGCCTTACCATCTCTTTAGGGCAGAGGTGGGTGAATGGCCCAAGTTTGAGCATCAAACTCCTGTATCCGTGACTGCAAAGCGGTTGCAAGGAGGAGAAGCTCTATTTCTGCCTGAGTTGCTGTGTTGTTGGAAAGTGATTGAAAATAGAGGGCAGCTAAACTTCGCTGGCAGTGAAGCCAGTTAGAAGACAAGAAATAATGGCTTGGAAGCCAGAGCATTGGATGATACGCAGCGTTATCTCAATTCAGCCATCCTTATTCTGCAGCCACTCTGAACTTTCCAGTCTCGTACTTACTTTCTCCTTTAGCTAGCTAGCACAGCTGGATTGAAGTTACTTGTGTGTCCTCCCCTGCATAGTGAGTGAGCTATATGCATTTGCTGGGGACTCTCTAAAGAGACTTAGCAGTTTTTCACATAAGTACTAATTAAGTCAGTACAATCCAACAGAAAAACAAAATCAATGAATGAATGTTTAAGTTGGTACTTTCTCTTAATTAGCTGTACTATCACTTAATTAAAAGTCTACTATGAGAACATAATCCACATGGTGATTTCGTCATTGAAAAATTTCCAAATTGCACAAGAAATATAATGGAGTATACTATATTTTAAAATATTTTAAAAAGGTTCCATAACATTCTTTTTCTGAATATCATAATTCTGCCAGATTCCATTTGTCAATGTCCATTAGCTATACGGTCCATTTCTAATTTGATTTAATTGTTTAAATAACTGTTAATAATTTACTGCTATCAGGATGTAGAAGTTTTACCAGAGTCATTAATTAGTTGCTTCAGGGAGTTTTATAAATTAACACCCAGTTAATTTTTATTAGCTCTGTGTTCTTTCTCCTTTATCCATTTTTTTTGAGAATTAAGCACAGTAGCTGGAAATGTCATGAGTGTACAAACTGAACTTTGCTTTCTGAATATTAAGTTTGGACCAGTCACTGATCTTATATTCTGAGCTCTGTGTCTACTTTGGACACGTGTGTGTGTGTGTGTGTGTTTCATGTATATGTCTTCCTGTGCTGTGCTGTGCCCATCATATAGAAATTGCCTCTGCTGAGTGAGAACGTAAATTAGCCCAAGTGCAACAGACCCTGCAGGACTTTAGACAAGACATTTGGGTACTCCTGAGAGTAAAGCAGAAGAGGGTAGCCAAACAGTTAAATCTTGTACATTTACTTGGGCTAGTAGCTCAGTTTCCCCATTATAATATGTGTATCTATGTTAAAGAGAGAATGGGAGTGGAGGGGAAGAAGAAAGAAAGTAGAGACTTTAGAAAACTCTGAATTTATGGCCAGCCTGGTCTACAGAGCAAGTTCCAGGACAGCCAAGGCTACACAGAGAAATCTCATTTCCCAAATGAAACCAAACGAAACCAAACAAAGAAAGACAAAAACTCATGGAGAAAGTTACCTTTCTTCTTTCCTCTGCAGCCTCTAGCTTTTTCTGGATCTCCTCCAGAGACAGGTCTTTTTTCTTTGGAGAAGCTAAAGTTCGTGGAGCTTCTGAGATGGGAGATGGTGGCTTCAAGATCAACTCAAAAGCTTGGCCAGAGGCTCGCTTGTTGATCTGCTTCACCTCCATGTCTACGGAAGGAACATCGAGAACATCAAGTAGGCATCTGAATCAAGCAACTACTTTAATGAGCCCAGCAGTTCAAGAGGCATCTTATTCCAGGAAGTGGAAACGAAGTGCTGCACAAAGCGCTGCCTTATTTCCAAAATACACGAACTCCCACAGCTTGACTGTGCACACACTTTTACAGTGTAAATGTTTTTGTTGACAAATGTAGTAAATTCTGTCATTTGCAACCACATGGGTAAACCTGGAGTGCACTGTATAAGAGAAAGCTAGGTAGGCCCAGCAAGGCAAAGATACTGTCCTCATGCATACAGAGTGTGGTGTGCCAGCCAAGGCTGATGGATACTGGGGAGATGTTGGTTAAACAGTATAAAATTTTAGCTAGAAAATTAAATATGTTCATGAGAGTCCTGGTTTGCTTTCTGTCACTGTGACAAAACACCAAGACCACAGACAACTTTGGAAAAAAAGATATACTTGGCTTACAGTTCCACATCACAGCCCATCATTGTGGGAAGCCAGGGCAAAAACCTGGAGGCTGAAACTGAAGCCGAGACCATGCAGGGACACTGCTTACTGGCTTCCTTTCCATGGATGTTCCAGCTTACTTTTTTATACAATGCAAGACTAGGGTGGCACCAACCACAGTTGACTGGACCCTCCTGCATCAGTCAAGAAAATGCCCCGTAGTCATGTACACACTCCGTTGGGATGGAGTCAGTCTCCAATTGTGCTTCCTGCTTCCCAGCTGACTCTAGGTTGCATTAAGCTGACACACAATGTGATCTGCAGTGATAACTGTAACATTATACTCTGTTGTTTTACACTCGAAAGTTATTAGCATGTGCTCATTGTGCAGAGTGGTGGGTGTGATTGTGATCTTTTACAACTTTCTTCTCATGTGCTTTGTTCGTATTTGTACCCCATTACCGCCTCTTGTCTTTCTCTGCCTCCCTCTGATTGGTCTCCTTCTCCCCAAATACCCCTTCCCCTACTTTCACACACACACTGTGTGTGTGTGTGTGTGTGTGTGTGTGTATGGTGTGCATATATATGTGTACATGAAGACCTAGGAAAGAAAAGGAGATATGTGTCTTTCTGAATCTGATTTATTTTGTTAATAAAATGATCTCCAGTTTCATCTATTCTTGCAAATGATAACTTTGTTATTTTTAATGATTTATTAAAGCTCCATTTTATTAGTGGTCTAAGCATTTTTAGTCTACTTTCTTTGATTGGGTTCTTGTCAGAAACACATGATAACATATGAGGTAAGCGTATGTTAACTAACTTGGTGTCGTCATTATGTAATGTGTATTGTGTTTCAAATGTACACTGTAGGGCTGGAGAGGTGGCTCAGTGGTTAAGAGGTCTGGTTGCTTTTCCAGAGGTCCTAAGTTCCATTCCCACCAACCACATGGTCGCTCACAACCACCTATAATGGGGTTTGAGGCCCTCCTCTGTTGTGCAGACCTACAGGAAGACAGAGCACTCACGTTCATAAATGAAAAAATCTTTTTAAAGAATGTACTGTTACACATATAGTTTTTAATTATTAACTAAACTAAAGAACAGAAAATTGCTAGCCATGCTTATCATTGCCATATGTACTGACAAATAAATTACTGGACTTTCACGCTTTAATCATGTATAATATGATTGATAGGCTTATTATCATACATTCATATATTAATCATGTGCTATCATTTACAATCTGAAATAATCTATAGCATAAAACAGTATAATAGGTAGTGTCTTCGAGGACATTTGTAACTTCATAGCTCACAATGTAGGAAAATCTACCGATTTCTTTAAAACTTCACTGGTCTTCAGCTTGATCCCACACTTAACACTCTGGTCCACTAATCTTTGTTTGCATCCAGAAATTTCTTGGCATTAAGCCACTGCTTTGTGTCACTAGTATTTCATGTGTAGGTGTGTCTTGTTACCCTCCAGAGTGGTTCTAAGACCCCCAGGGGATTCCCAAGCACTCAACGGCCCAGTCTCTTACTGTAATGTATGACAGAATACTCTCCTTTGAGGTCCAGAAATGCACTTTACATGATCTACGTTGCTCAGATAATCGCTATCGAGGCAGGGATACAAGGCCAAGTAAACACTTTGGAAACATGAAAGTCTCTACTGAGTGCTTTTGAAGCGGTGCATGTGGAGTTGTCTCTTCAGCTTCAGACAGCTCGCACAGCTCCGCTTCCTGCCTCTCAGTGCCAAAGTGCAAGACCACCCAGTTCTTGTGTACCAACAACTTGCTTCTCTCCTTGTGTGTTTTAAGACTCATCTACAGAGCTTCAAGTCCCAGGAAGGCAAGGGCCATGCCACATTCATGGGACCTCAGTGACAGACCAGATTTTATAGTCTCTTACTTAAGAAACAGCCAGATTCCTGCTCACAACAACATCTGACAGACAGTATGGATCTACGCGGTTGATTTAATGGCTCAATGGACTTACAGGAACTGGGCATGCTGCATGTGTTCTCGTGGAAGTTTTGGTTGGAGATGGATTGGTTGCGCGCACACAGAGACTGCTGCTTCTGGAAAGTTAATTAGCCTTCTAAGGCTTGTGTCATCAGAACAGCACCGGGAGAAGCATGGCTCTGAGATCTCAGAGAGAACTGAAGGCACTTAAGACTGGGCGCCTGCCCTTTACCTTCTTTTTAATGACTTTTGCACATGTGGAAAGGCAGAATAACTGTGAGCCTACCAAACATCAGACTGTCTCAGGTAGCTCTGGTATACACGACTGCCCTACTTTGATTAGGTTGGCCGAGTTAGACGAGGTTGATACTAACAGTGTTGATAAGCACACAGCAGGTCCTGAGGATGTCTTAGGCATCAGGGTAAGACATGTAACAACCTCTCCCCAACATTCCTAGGAGGGAGAGTAAATGATAATCAAAGAGTCTAAGTATCCTCTTGCCTGGGGCCACACGCATTTGAAGATCCAGAAATGAAACTAAACTTAGCTAACCACCATGAGTTGGCATAAAGCAAACTGAAAAGGTTGCACTTCAATTAAGACAATTGGCAGCCTGGCTCAGTGGTGCACACCTTTAATCCTGGCACTTGAGAGGCAAAGTATCTCTAGAGTTTGAGGCTAGCCTGTTCTGTACAGTGAGTTACGGATAGCCAGGATAATATATATGGATTTGATCTTTGTTATTAGCTTGTTTGCGATTGCTCACAAAATATGGGTACTGCAGAAAGAAAATAGTGATGTTGATACATTTTCTAGTCTTTGAATGATCTGTGTAGAAAAATAGTTTTTTGCAAATTAAGATCTGGTGTAATTGTAGTTTAGTGTGCTTCATTATTTGAAAAGACTTCCGGTGGATTGTGATGTGATGATCAGGATGCTGGTAGCAAGCCAACCATGCTTCCTAAGAGACATTAATGTGCCGTTAGTATCAGCAGCTTCAAATTGCTGTGAGCAATAGGCAATCAATAAGACCTAATGGCTGGACACAGCAAATCAACACTGAGATCTATAAAATGCTCATTTAGTTATGTTAGGAGCTCCTGGAGAGAAGCACCTGTACTCAGACTGCAGCCCACTGTGTCGCTAGAGGTGTCTCTGCCGCAGGCGACTCACCATCATAGGTGTAGATGTTGATGTTGCGAGGCTCCGGGTAGAAGCATGAGCAGATCAGCGACAGCATGGACAGCTCCTTCATTTTCTCCTTGTAGGCTGCAAGGGAAGGTGTAAGATTAGAGGTTCATTCTCTGAATTTCCTCTTAACGCCTCTCTGAATCTGAGCAATAATTATAACCTTCTGCCGAAGGCAGGCTGCTTGGCTTGCTTCCTCAATGAATGAGAAGGTAAACAAGCCTGATACATATACTCTTCCCTATAGAGGAAGCTAAGTGTGTATTATTGTAGGCTACATAAACAATGAAAGTGAGTTAGAAAAAAAAGGACGAGATCCAGGAGGAAAAAAGACAGAAAAACACTGGCAAAGGAAACAGACGAAACTAACGTGTGCATTCTAATTAATACATGTGTGAGTCCTCTTCACACAAGTTACGATTCTCGGGGTTCATCCTGCATCACCACTATCCATTTGGGGATAGTCACACAACTCCTCCAGAGAGTTGTTAAGCATCTGCACCCTCCAGGGAGCTTTGTGGCTGTTTTCTCTTAATTCCCAAATGCATTTTCTTATCTCACCTTCTCCCCAGTGCTGAGATCTGATCAGGATCTCCCTCCCTTTGCAGCACTGGATACCAGGCTCTCAGAGAAGCAGGAGACCAGCCTGTGCTGTTCCCCTCCTCCCTCCTCTCTACCCCATGCCTTCCTTTCTCCTCTAATAGTCCTGCCTTAGAAGACCTGGTGAGCATTTCATGGCTGTCACCAGCACAAAGGTCTCCAGACAGAACAATCTGGGACGAGAGGGTAGGACACCATCACTTTGGGTGGTTATTTAATTAGTGAAATTAATTAAAGAAAACGGCAGAAAAATGAGGAGCGTACTATACCTTATAGTAGCTTGTGACAGGGAAATGGTAACCTCACATTTAACATCTGTGTGCTGGTGGGATCTTTTAATCATCACCAGGGACTTTTAAAGTCCAAAGAACAGTGTCTAGACCTTGGAGGGAGAAGGAATTCTAGAAGCTGAATTTAGACATTATTGACAGCACATCTTTTATTGATAAGCCGGAAGCAGATCCAGCAGATATTTTACCATGTCTAGCACATGGACTATGACTACATGCAGCCGAGGACAGCTATGAATGCAGCTAGAGCAAGTAAGTAAATGTACCTAAAACCACACGAGATTTAACTTTTTGTAACTTAGCTGTGTGTTCCCCAAGCCTCACTCTTGCAGATGACATGCCACAGCCAAGAGGCTGACAAGATTTTTAAATCTGTAGTCCACCTACTCAACTGCTAATTTTGTCAGTGAGGAAATTTGAGTCTCACAGAGGTCAAAGTCACATATGACTGATGACAAAGATGGGGCCTCTGGATAAAAGGCGATGGAAGAATCTACACCAGAGCTGCCAAGGAGTAATCCAGTCCTCCTCTAAAATGCAGTCTAGGGACCGTAGGGCTATGTGTCTGAGAATGAGGTCCAGCCACATGCACAGATCAACGTTGTCAGTTTCACGTGGTTCATCTTAGCATGTCCAGACGACCTGCGGCAGGCATCTCTGCTAGCTTATTTCCTAACAATGAAAGCCATGATTGGTTCTGGGCCATAGGCATTTTTGACAATGGCCGTTTTGAGAAATTGTATTAAATTTTCAATTTTAGAAAGCTGAACTACATTTCTTTGTCTTGTTTCTTTTTGGTTAGTCACTTAGAAATATTTAAGATGGTTTTTCATGTAAATGTTCAGTGTGAATCATAATTTCTACCAGAGCACAGTGTATTTGATGCCTTAACGTGTTCCAAAAACTGACTCAAAACTGTATAACCAAGCTTTGTGTGGTAGGATTGCTATCTTTTTCTTTTTTCTTTTTTTTTAATATAGTATGGTACTCCAAACATTTTGCAAAATAAAGTATACAGTTATCCCTCCACATCTTTGGGTTCTATACCCAGGATTTCAACCAAGCTCATACTGAATATATTTGAAATAAAAATGACCTCTGCAATGGCACGTACTAGTCATGTAATCACTATAAGACAATTATCATTCAGAACTGCTTTGTGTGGACTATATATAGATGCTTCTCTTATCCCTTAAAGATACAGTGTAATGGCCATTTCCATAGTGTTCGCATTGTATTGGGTAATCAGTACACGGCTTACAGTATAGGACAGGAGATGCATGAGCTCCAGACAAATACTTCATCCTTTTAAATAGGGACTTAAACACCTGCAATTCTTCTATTCCTAGGGGGTCATGGAAATAATTTCCATGCACATTGAAGGATAACTGTATATCCTATGTACACAATAGATTCAAATCTTACTAAGAAGTAGTCTAAACACAAAACTAAAAGATTTTCTAACCCAGAAAGAAATATCAAGTTAGAGTTATAGAAGATTGTAAGTTTATACTAATCGCTCTTCATATCTGTCATTAGTGACTTGGTAACAAACTTCAGTAATTATCAGTAAGATCTCCCAGCTAGTGAAGAGTAGGGTGTACAGATCACCTGTGGCTGACTCATGGGGAGCCCTATGAATGATGAACAGCAATTTATGCTAATAACTGAAGATTTTTATCCTCTGGACCCCATTTGGTAATACGTAGACATGAAACCTTTGAGGATCAGATAGTAAAGTCCAAGTCTTCATGAGTGGTCTAGAGCCCTTGTAAGGGGAGGGAGAGTCGGATTCAACTCTTTCTGCTGTGAAAACACAAAAAAAGCACCTTGTTTGCACCTTGGAATAGCGTCAGACCAGAGTGCCACCAAGCTGCTCGGCAGCTCGCAGAGCTTTGTTAAATCATATCTGCCGTGTTGGCCAGGGCTGAAAAATTGACTGAAGTATTGGTTCTAAGCTGTACTAGGCAGCCTGGGGTAGTGAGGTCCTTAAAGGCTTTAGCGTTTAAGACTTCCTTTCAGGGTTCAGTTAAAGGCAGCATGGATAGCTAAAGCGAGGCTAAAGATCTGAGGGTAAAGAAGTCCACTCACAACAGGAATTGCCTGTCCATGTCTCTTTATTCCTCTCCCTTCAATCCATCATTTCTCACTGTGCCACTCATTCTTCTTGTTCTACACTGTTCTTAGGTCCACACTGCTCCTTAGTTCTACCCATTATAAACACTCCCAGTCATATATAATATATACCCTTAAAAAACAGCAATTCCCTAGCCATAGCAGGTTCCAGGGCCAGAATTCTTTTCCACCATAGAAAATCTTTTCACATGCACACACGTGCACACACACAACACACACACACACACACAGATCCATTGGAGTGGTTAGCACATGTCTGGTGAACTTCTTAATGGAGAAAGTTAGTTAAGAGAGGAATTAAATTGTCAGGGAACTCTAGAGGGGAAGGTTAATGCACTATGCTAAATTTTTAGGTGGTTAGTAAAGGGCTAAAAAGTTCTTTTTCAGTAAAACTACGAACAGGGCACGGATTGTATTTTAGCATCATTTCTTTTCTCCCAGTATGCATAGAGGCTACTGGGTCACCAGGAAACAAAACCTACGTTAAATAGTCAGGGGGAAGCTGATGGTTCTTGATCAGATAGCACATACACCAGTTTCTACTGGCCTAGGTCTGGAGTTAGACTTACTGTTCTAAGAGGAGAGACCCAGGCCTCTAAATGACTAGTTCCAGGCCATGCTGTCATCAGCGTTCTGATCGTGGGGGTTATGGGTCTTCCTCTGCGATGCAGTTAATTGTCCCTCCTGCTGTCCTTGAGAGTCCTGAACTAAATCATTAGTAAACTGAGGTGGAAGTGAGCGTAGGGTGTTCAGAATCTATTGAGTGGGGTAAAACCAGAAGAGCAGCTTGGGCAGGTGGTAATTCTATGTCCTTAGAGATCTGTGACTATCTTAGATGGGATGCTCTGTGCCTAAACACTGACCGAATGCCTGCTGATAAAGAAAACTGCAGGAAGGCAGATCTCTGCGCTTAGCTAGGAGAGAGGAACAAAGGCCTGGCAGTGGTAAACTGTTCTGAACTAGGGAATTATTCCCAAATATGTAACAGAAAGGGAGACCCCTCAGCCTGCTACAGCAAAAGACAGCCATTTTGTTCACCAAGCAATGACATCAAAAGTCTTGCCTCTTGGTTTAACCTTTACCAGATCCCTTGGTTCAGGTAAGTTATTTGTGAAAAGATGTCTTAGCAAATTCTGTGTAATATTGTGGTTTGGAGCACTGGGGAAAAGGTAGTTGACTTTTGTGGGTGGTTTCCTTAATAGTGTCCTTACTTCTTAGTACATTTTGTTTTTTAAGACAAAGTCTCACTATGTGGCATTGGACAGCCTGGGACTCACTGTGTAGAGCAGGCTGGCCTTGAACTTATAGCTTCACCTGCTTCTGCTTCTGGAATTAAACTCAGGTGTCAACATGGCTAGTTTCAGTATTAATTTTATACAATGACTCTGAATGGCCAGTGGCAGTCATTGTGTAGATTGCAACTTATGTGGATTTTCTGAATCCCAGGGAACTCCACAGAACAAGTTGCAACCACCAGGTGAGTCCTGGCTGTCTCCTTGAGGTAATTATACCCCTTCCACAGTACCTATGCCTGAATTTTCTGGCAGGTGGCATTCATTGCTCCTGGGTTCTATTAGCTCACTCAAATTTTCCTCAAAGTTGCTTCATCCAGACCCCCATCCATAAGTACCCTCTTATGGTGTTTCTAGCTGTTCTCAGTGGCTTATGATATCTCACTTGTGTACTGTTTAGGGTCTTTAGATATTGTTTTCTGATAAATAATTTTTGTTAGTTAAACTATGCACCCTTTGAAAGTACACACTGTGTCTTACTCATCAGCAAAACAATTCAGAGAACAGTTTGGGAGAGATCAGGAAGTGGCTGCTCAAGAAATTACAGTTGTGTTGGTCATTGACTTTAAATCTATTTCCATTGACAAGAGCAAGTACCACCTAGGGGCAGGCGTTCCTGTGGAGCAGTCTAGAAATACACAGACATAGGAGAGCGTTGCTGTCTAGGCAAGGATATGGGGCAGACTAAGACAGATGGAAACAGGAAAGGACACAGGGATGCAGACATGACTTCGAGAAGCCATAAAGACCTCTAGGCCTGCTG